GGGGCGTGCTTAAGAGAAGCTGTTAAACTAACTTTAAAACATTTCTGGCCGAGAGTTTATTCTGTCTTCAGTGAGACGTTGCCTAACAGGCCGTGATTTTACACGAAAAAAGGTGAGACATTAATGTGTATGACCCGCTCATCATGGTTATGATAAAATCTACTTTTTTGAACCTAGTCAACGTCTTGGTCCGTTTTAATCAACTGCTATGATATTTTTGTTCCTTGCCACGTATCCAATATCGACATCCACCGTCACATCTTCTCAAAAAAAAAAAAAAAAAAAAAAAGCGGTTTCGAAAACAATTTTGTTTTTCATTTCATCTGTGTTGTTGTGAAAATGAAAATCTTTGATGATTTTCTCCTTATCCTGTAACTACAACAATGATATGACCTATAACTGACCGAATTCCGCATTCTTCACTTTTCAAAAGAATGCAAATCAAGAGAATTGCAGACAATATTCGTGCATTTTCTTTTTTATTGATAAATTGGAACAAAGAACCTGACGAAGAGAGAATTTATCGTTGAACCTAGTTTTTTTCACAAGTTGGACAATCATCATCATCGGTCGGCTGCAGAGCAGACGACTACGAGCTTCCTCCAGCCACAACGATCCTGTGCCAATTCAGACAGCTTCCCGGGCCAATAATGTTGTCTGTGTCTCCCAAAAGGTGTTGAATGTATCTGAGAAACAGGGTTCGTTGCCTTCCTGGTTTTCTCTTCCCATGTGGTGGAATATACAGTGCGTACTCTTTGCATGGCTCATCATCAGGCATCCTGAGTACATGGCCCAGAAACCTCAGCTGGCGGGTTCTGACATTTTCTACTAGCGAGGCAGTCTGAGTTAGATCATAGATTTTAGCATTGGACACCCTATCAATTCTCTTGATGTTGAGCATAATTCTATAACATGAGGTACCAAAGGCATTGATCTGTACAGTACCGCAAGTGATCCCCAACCGCAAATGGTCCCGAGACCGCAAATGATTCCCAAAATGGACCGCAAATGATCCTCGACCGCAAGTGATCCCCAAAGTTGACCGCAAATGATCCCGAAAGAAAAATAGGAATGCTTAGACTAGAGTTAGCGGATCATCGTGTCTATTTTATTATTATAACAAAAAGTAAGATTAAACGCTAAATTTCAGTTCTAAAATAAATACATGAATAAAAACTAAATGAAAACATCATTCAAGTGTAAAAACGTTGTCGGTAGGCAACACACGACTTCATGCCAAAATGCTGCTTGTTCCAATGAATTTTCTCTCTGGCGGGTAGATTATACCTTTGAAGGAAAACGTTTTGCAAATGTGATTTTTGCCGCTTATTTCATACTGAGAGGCCATGACACGCATTTTCGGCAGTTATTGTTGTTTCTGGTCGGCATGATTTGTCCTTTAATGCAAGAGCATTTCCTTTGACCTCTTTTCAAATGCAATGCTTTTCATTGCGACTAAATAAGGGTTTTAGGTTTTTTAAATTTCTTTAAAGTGCCTCATGGATCCGAATAATTATAAGCGACTTTTTTTTAGTCCGTGAATGTGACGGTTGCTACGACATTTTTTCTCTCGATAACTGCCGCTTGCCTCGCTTTTGCGTTTCTCATTACCAGGTTTAGATTCTTGGTAACTGTCTCCAGCAAAGACACAACAAATGGATATACATATAAGCGTCAATATAGCTATTCGCAACATGTTCATGAGCTGTAAGCAAGCTGCTCTTTCAAAATAAACCGAAACCTGTGAACATTGATAAGTTCGGGAGCATTTTGACGTGTGTTTATTTCAAATCATGTCTTGTTTCGTAACGGACACTCCCAGGCCTGGGACACTCCTAAGTTACGAACCAATGTCTTGCTGTTTATCACGTAAAATTAACACCTCAGAGAAAAATCAAAACTAAATATTCTGAAAATTAAGTGGACACTTCTAAAAAGATCAGTAAAGTCAATAAAGCTCTTGTTATGTAGAGGGTGCCCCGCTTTGTGTTCCTCAGTAGACAAGTTGAGCTTGGGCGTTAAAATAATAGAGTTTTTTCTGCGTAACGTCCTGCCTGTCTAAAATTTTCAGCGACGAAACAGTTCTTTAAAGAAAATTGAAGCAATTGACAATGGAAGAAGTATACGGTTGATACCATATCCTTTTCAGATTTATTCTACTTTTTTTGGCCTTGTATAAATTGACCTGAGACGAAGCGTCCTCCTTACTTTTTTCTTTAGAAGGCGCGAGAAAAAGGTTCCTTTTTTATAATCAGTCCTTTTTTGTAATCAGTCCCATAAAATCCATTCCATTCCTCAAGTTTTCATGGGATCATTTGCTGTCAACTTTGAGGATCACTTGCGGTCGAGGATCATTTGCGGTCCATTTTGGGGATCATTTGCGGTCTCGGGATCATTTGCGGTTGGGGATCATTTGCGGTACTGTACAGATCTCGCTTTCCATTGCTTTCGACAGGACCCACGACTCACAGCCATATAGAAGGACAGTGACACCGGTAGTATTAAATAGCTTGATCTTGGTGGAGATAGAGATGTTAGGGCATCTCCACAGACGTTCTAGCTTCCAAAAAGCTGTCCATGCAAGCCCTTTCCTTCTTTTGAGATCCCCACTACTAGATGCCATCATGGAGCCAAGGTATTTGAAGTCTTGTACATGGTTGATTGTACTACCATATACTTCTATTGGAGGCTGTGGACAGCAGTTGATCGTTATATACTCAGTCTTGGGAGCACTGATGACAAGTCCAAGGTCAGCAGCAGCATTGGCAGTTCTGGTTAGCTGGGACTGAGCACGGGAGATGGAGGACTCAAGCAAGGCGATGTCATCTGCAAAGTCCAAGTCATTTAAAACTTTTGCAGGGTACCTACTTGATTTACGAGGGCAAGTCAGCGCTCCAGAGTCACCATCTGCAGACCTTAGCAGCAGGTAGTCTACCAAGATAATAAAAAGAAATGGAGCTAATACATCACCCTGAAGCACTCCTGTGGTAACACTAAATGGTTTGGAGATACTTCCATCAACCATCACTGGTCTGCTAGAGTTGGTATACAGCACCTGGATTGCGTTAACCAAGGTTTCTGGGATGCCATAATGACGTAGAACAGAGAACATCACAGACCTATTGATGGAGACAAAGGCCTTCTTGAAATCCACAAAGGTGGCAATCAATGGGAGTTGGTGTTCTCTAAAGCCTTCCATGATTCTTCGCAAGATATGGATTTGCTGGGCGCAGCTGCGACCTGGACGAAAACCTGC